CACCTCCGGGGGGCGCGGAACGCGGCGGGGCCAGACGCCTGCGGCCTGTCGGATGCTTCGCACATCGAGAGCCTGCAGGAGAAGTCTCAGTGCGCGCTGGAGGAGTACGTGCGGAGCCAGTACCCCAACCAGCCCAGCCGTTTCGGGAAGCTGCTGCTGAGGCTGCCTTCCTTACGCACCGTCTCCTCCTCCGTCATCGAGCAGCTCTTCTTCGTCCGCTTGGTAGGTAAAACCCCCATCGAGACCCTCATCAGGGACATGCTACTGTCGGGGAGCAGCTTCAACTGGCCTTACATGTCCATCCAGTGCTCCTAGAGCCCGTCCCGCACCCCCGACGGAAAGAGAGATTGAGAGAGAGAGAAAGAGAGAGAGAAAGAGAGAGAGAAAGGTCGGCGGAGGCGGGGAGCGCTGGCACCGCGAGGGGCAGTTCGGGGTGCGGAGAAAGTTGGTTTTTTTTGGGGGGGAAAAGGGTTGGTGGGGTGGGGTGGGTGGCCCGGGAGGGCGGACACCGAACAAAAGAGAAAAAAAAAAAAAAAAAAACGAAAAAAAAGACGGGCCGAGCGAGGAGGAGCGGAGGTGCGGCCGTGGTGTTGCGGGGGGAGAAAGGACGGGACCCCCCGCACGGCGTGGGGTGGTTCCGTGGTGGAAGTTCGGGGTGTTTCGCTGTTTTGGTTTTTTTTTTTGGTTGGTTTTTAAATTTTTTTTATATATATATTTTTTTTTTTCGGAGAGGAGGAAAAACAAAATAAATAATAATAATAAAAGAGAGAAAAAAGCAAAAAAAAATTAAAAAATAATAAAAACAAACAAAAAAATATGAGTATTGAGGGGATATTAATCAAACCTGAAGGGGATACTGGATCTTCCAGGATTTATTGTGGACTGTTGTTGATATATGCTGTACAGTAACAAACAAAACAAAACGCGTTGAAACTGAACTGAACCTTGTGTAGAATGGAGAAGAAAAAAACAAAAAACAAAAAAAACAACAAACCAACAACAAACCAACAAACGAGCAAACAAAAAAACAAACAAACAAACAACAACAAAAAACCATCCACGCGCAAACACTTACCACGAGCATTGTTACTCATTTTGTAAAATATTAGTCTTTATTTTCATTTTTTGTAAAACTTAAAACATCGTATGCGCATAAAGGAAAAAAAGAAAAAAAAACACAAAAAAAAAGAAACGAGAATTAGGGGAAAATAACATTTTCCAAATAATTATAAAAAAAAATTGTCCTGTGTCTATGTATCTATATCTGTTTTGTATTTTTTTCTGGTTCCAAACCAGGTTTCCTGTGATTCTATACTAATAATTTTTGATATAACCCTTTGCTTCTTATAATGAGTGCGATATATGTTGTCGAAGCTGTTCTTCAAGAATTAAAATTGAAGTGAGAATTTAAACAAAAATAAAAGAATTTAGCAAAAAAAAATCAACTTATCACCCCACAACCCATGAGTCTTGTTGCTTGAAACATGCCAAGAGTTCAGCAAAAAAAAAAAAGACAACCCAAACCCAAACAAAACCCAACCAGCAAAGTCTCCCTGGATTTTTAACTCCTGTACTGGTGTTAGAAGGGAGAACTTTAAAAAAAAAAGAAAAAAAGTACTTGCGAGGGGTAACCAAGTTGTGTGTAAACCACGTGATGCTCCAAAACTGACTTGGCAGTGGAAGTTGAGGGCTGAGCTGTCGAGGCCTAGGAGGTGGGAGCGAGTGTTGCGGCGTGGTGACGCCGTAGGTGACCTCTCCTCGTTGGGACGATGTCAGGGCAGACCCTCCACCCAGGCCCACAGGCCTCGCCACCCCGTTGGCTGGCCTACCCTTGTTTTTTGCCTCTTTTTGGAAAGGCTTCTCCCCATCCTCTGGAGTTCCTGCCGAGTTCACACCTTGATGCTTTGCTTCTAGACGCCATGGGCATGGATTGAAGCCACCCAACGCCACCGCCCGCACGGCGGCCACCATACTGTCCCCATGACTCCTGCTTGCTGCTGGCATGGTGGCTTTCTGCTTTCTGGGGGGTCTGGGATGGTGGGCGAGGGGTTGGGTGAGGGTAGGGGGGGGCAGGTTTTGGCTGCTTTGCTCTTCTTTTCCACCCTTGAAGGACTCATGGGAGCCCGGTGTGCGCCCTGGCGTGCGCCCCTCGTGTCTGCTCCCCCAAAACATCCCTCTGGCTGTTCCTTCTGCTCCCCCAAAACATCCCCCTGGCTGTTCCTCCTGGCTCCGGCCGCTGCGCGTGGGGGCTATTCCCAGCCCATTAATATAGAAATCCAACTGGATGCTTGCTCGTTGGGTGGTGAGCCAGCAACCACCCTCCCCTGCGTGTTTCCCTGCAAAACAGGGGGCCCTGTCCCCCCCCACGCCACGGCCACCCCACCCTGGGGGGGGCCCACGCTCCCATGCCAAGAGCCCAGCTCCATTCTGGCGTGTCCCTTCTTTTTTTCTGGTTTTTTTTTTTTTTGCAAAGAAAATTAAAAATCGTTTCTGTAATGGAGCTCCTTTGAAGGTAAAGGCTTCACAATGCTCCTAGCTGGTGGTGCAGATCTCTGTAACAGCTTTCAGTGCATTAATGTTTTATAGGATCTGAGACGGAGCTGTAAGAACACATACTACCAAGGGAGCTCTTTCTTAACGTATTAATAAAGCTGGATCTTTAAAAATAACATTCCCCCCCCCACCACCCCTGCATGCAGACACCTCCCGTGCCCTCCAAACAAGCCTGGATGCGGCAGGCTTTTCCAGTTTGTGGAGTCATGGGCAATGTTTTCCTTTTAATTTGCTGTCCTCCATACTCTCCTTCTCTCCT